GAGACGTCTCTTGTCCATTGTCTGTGTTATCGTGGTCTTTAAGATTGGAAACTACTTAGACGACAGTCCAGCCTCAAGACCTTTCACAGTCGTCGTTGATGTTGCACCAAGCCTCAAGCCCAATACAACAATGGCCGATAAAACTATCCCCCCATCGCATGTGAAACAATCTCCATCAACCACCAAGCGCAAGCCAAAGAGTAAATCTACGACACCAAATACCAACGACTTTCTCTGTAAAAAGCTACACAAAAGCCCAGTGTTTCAGCAAATTCAAATTGCTAATTCTAAGAACAAAGCTTCTCCGAAAATTCTATGTTTCATCATGAGTCATTCCAAAGCGACCACCAAGATCAATGCGGTTCTAAAGACATGGGGACGCAAGTGCGACAAGTTGCTGATTGCGTCCAATGAAACTGACTCTCGTATTGGAGCAGTCAAAATGAATTCAGAAGCAAGTTATCTTGGGCTATGGAATAAATTGAACGAAACCATGACCTACATTTGGAACGAATTTGGAGCTGACCAATTTGAATGGGTACTCAAGGCCGACGACGACACCTTTGTGATCATGGAGAATCTCAAGGAATATCTTTCGTCGTTGCCAAGCACCCGCATGTCCTCTCAACCATCCATTCATGGTCGTAGATTCTCTTCCCCAAAATACAAGCACTTGGAACGGGACGAGTATTTTACAAATCCACAAAATGTCGACTTTGGGAAACGCTTCTACGCGAAGATGGATCGCAACGCGCCCGTGATTTACAATCATGGTGGTTCGGCATATGTCATGAATATGGGATATGTCCAGAAATTTGTAGAAGTTATGCATGGGCCCGACACGGTCCACGGGACTCCAGCCGAAGACATGGCGCATGGAGTGGTCATGGCCTATCACGACCTTTGGCCAACCAATACCCGAGACGAATTGGGACGGGAACGCTTTCATCCCAAAGATCCTCAACTCATGTACAACATGCCCGAGGACAAGTTTCGATTATTCAACGACAATCATCAACCAACCGGTGGTTTATCTGTGGGAGTGGACTGCTGTTCGGAGAAATCAATTACCTTTCATCACATCAAACCTAGCAACATGATTGCATTGGAACGAGTATTCTATACCTGCCGTGGACTGTAGGCTGTAGAAAGGAAAAAATTCCAGTCTATTTGAAAGTTACTTAGGGAACAATAAAAAGTTCCTTCCGGTCAGTGAGAGTCTCCTTGATTACCCAGGTTCCAAATCGATCACTGGAAACACAGACTCGGGGCATTTGGATGGCGCCTGCTCGGGTCGCAATGACAGTGTAGCAAAGATTGTGGATTTCAAATGCACCCAAGGCGACTGTGCCATCGACAAGACCGGATAGCATGTAACCCTGTGCCTCTCTATCGGCAATGGAGCCTTTAAAGCTGACTTTCAGCGCTTGATGCTGCGGGGTCATGTTTTTAATTTGGTAGGATATCGAAAAGGGAGATCCCACCTTTGGAGAAGATTGGAGACGATTCATCTTGACAGCAAATGGTGCCTTCTCAATGTAACATGGGGGTCCGATAAACCTGCAGGTTGGAGGTGTCTTTAGCGGCAATGGACCATGTTCCGAGATGGGCTCACTAGAATCCGAAGTCACATAATCGTCGGGAAGAGTCAATGGGGCAGGGTTCCAGCCAACTGATATTACTCCCAAAGAAGAGCTCGTTGGTATCTGTTGATACCTCGGATTCACTTCAGCCAGCGCTGTCCAAGAAAAAGCAAATGTAGTTCCAGGAAGAAGCTCGCGGCAAGAGTCGCCATCTTCTCCCTTGTAGAGTAATCCAGATTCGTCTTTTCCTGTCAATAACTTGAACTCGCAAGGATGTTCGCCTTCGTCATTCTATCGCAACAGGATTGTGGGTGGTGAGACATAGAATGAAATATTGATTTAGAACAATAGGTGTGGTCGCTTACCTTGAATCGAACTTCTTCAATATTTGGGACTAGGCTGTCATCTGCTGCAACAGCCTCCAAAGTACACCTGGCTCCGACTCTTTCCCCATGCAATGCGACAATATCTGATGACTCATGGTGTCGGGGACTTGTAGCGTTCGGATCGGGAAGGAGATTGGATGGGTGCCGATTTCCACAAGGATGACTATCATTCAAACCGAGCTTGAATACAGCTGAAATTGGCGCTGCCCATTGCACACGAGCATTGTATTCGAGCGTAACAATGTCATCTTCCACCTCGGTCAGTTCCTCTTCCGAAGCTTGAACTTCGTCTGGCTTCCTTCTGCCTCTCCGTCTCAATGGTTGATTTCCTTTTTGTGATGGACGCTCTTGGCGATACGATACGGTTACATCCACATCAGTTTGACACATGTCTTGGTCAAATGAAAACTCGTCTCCGTCGCTTCCCTCTGACAATACAAACTGCGCCCGGCTGATAGGTGGCAGAGGGCGGTATAAATCAAAATAGGTAAAGGCGGATTCACCGCCATTGAGCTGGGGTGCAATCGATACGAAATCAGAAGATTCATTGCCGCCCCAACCCTCTGGGAGAGTATAGCCCACGTCTGCAGGTTGCGGAGGCAGGCCCTCCTGTTTCTTGACCAGTGTGGGTGTTCGAACATTGGGGTTCTCCTTGCTGAGACAAGATTCATCGGATCCAGCTTCTTGCGAGCCCACAATCCGTCTCACTTTTCCTTCTGGTGATACCAGGAAACTTGAGCACGAAATTTTCACCTTCACACCCATGCATCGCTCGAACTCGCCCGCTTTAAATTTGAGCAATACCCGATTTACGGCACCTTCCATAGCTTTTCCATTTGTTTTCTGCTCGGTCAGATTGGTGATCACCATGTCTGCCATTGGAGACAACACGCGCAGGCAACGCGGTCCCCATGCCATGGGCGCTAGTTTTGGTCTTCTCCATGCTGAAGCAAGGTAATTGTCTTCTTCGAATGGAGTTCGCTTAATGTTGGCATCCGTTCTCGCATATTTCTTCTCGATGGTGAGCTCGACAACTGTATTCTTCCCATCGCCAGTTGCAGATTGAACAGGGTAGAAATCTATCTTCAATCCATCGCATCGCAGAGGTCGCCCGCCCAAACACCGGAGACTCCACTGACCGCTGCTTTGTCCACCCTTTTTGTCCGCATTCACGTCTTCTTCCACCAATCTTGCACCGGCTACGAAGAACGAATATTTTAGGTCAATACTCCATGCAAGAATGAATCAATAGAAACAACAAACCTTACCTCCAGATGAAATTCCACCTGTGCGCGGTCGAGCAGTTTTTGAAAAGGACCCTTTGCCAGCCGAACCCTCCTTCTCGCCTCCATTTCCAGTTTCGTCTATGGCAATGTCATTGATATCCTTCGGCAGTTGAATTTCTGTCGACAGCAAAATCTCTGCCTTTGCTTGCATTATTATTCCCCTACCACTTCCTTGATCGGCATTCTTGGCGCACTGCAAATCAGTGGAAGGAATCGAGACGGAACCGGCAAGGCTTTTCAATGTCACAGAATCAACCTGAACGGCATAATCCAAGTTGGATTTCAGCATCAAACGTGCTTTCACCTTGTCGCCAGCAAAGGCATGGGTAATGGACGGAAAACTGAGAAAAAAGGAAAACGGAAGAGTCGAGTCTGCTTCGTCATTGCAATCTCGGTACCATTCCACCGAACCTCCTCCACTCAGTTCCGAATACCGTACCAATGCTTTTCTCAAATCGGCATTGGTCATTTGTGCATTAAAATATGTATCCAACAAGGCAGAAGCAAGCTTCTTCTCATCGTCACCTTGTGAAGGAATGTGTTGTTCGTAGCATCTGATCAACATGCGCCGTATGGTCACTTCCAAGCCAGGCCACCCGTCGCACAAGGTGGCGGCCGTGGTGAGATGAGGAATTGCCTCTTGGTGTCGACCCAATCCGAGCAAAGTACCCCCAGCCAGATACTCCAAGCGGGCAGCAGATCGCTTCCAAGTCAAGTTGGGACTCGAGTTGACTTGTCGTTGCAATAATGAAAGGGCACGTTCGATGCATGCCAATGCCACCTCTGTAGCAATTATTCAAAGAGGTATTGTGAGTCATGTGAGAAGGACCTGGAACCAAAAGAACATTTTCAACAAAACAATAGCAACCTACCCCTATGATTGATTTTGGATTCTTCTTCCAAAGTTGGCAAATGCCCATCGGTATCCAACCCGCCCACAAACTTTTGTCTCATGCTATCCTGTGGTACGTTTTCTTCAAACAGTTCACCCTTTTCTTGAATCAATCGAATTTCCGCACCCAATCTCAATATAGCTTCGGCCGTCGCCTCGTAGGTCCTCCAAGGAGAACACCGAAATAGGATTTCGTCCATCTCTCGATTGGTACCATCAATGGCCTTGGGTGGATGTCGTTCCAATAGCTGCGATACGACCATGCGTTGGTGTGCCACATAGGCCCAATCCATCCAGGCCCCGGGGCCACCAAGGGATACTGACACGAAGGATCGTCGGGGAGAACAAAAGGCTGCCGAATGTTTTTGCCATTGTTTGGCGACCGCCAACAATCCACCTTCGACATGCGAGGTTAGACCAGATTGCAAGATTTTGAAATTGATCCAATCGGCAATCTTGCGGCACTGGTGCAACATGTCTTCGGGTGGCGGATAGGATTTCAAAAAGTTGATTTCTTCTTCCGTCAATTCCCGTCGGACTTGGGTAATGCCCGATTCCAGTGCCAATTCGATGCCTTCCATTTCCAAATCTCCACCACCAGTCGACATGGAATCTTGAGACATGGAAACCTTGTCCATTAGAGAAGGTGGGGCAGCAGAGGAAGCTTGTTGTTGTTTTTGAAAGAGGTCTTCTCCGGTTCGTTGCTTGTGTTGTTTGCGATGCAAAAGGTACCGGTAATATAGATCTGCATTCCTATAGGCTTCCAGCATGAATTTGATGGATTTTTGTTCTTGCCATTGAAATTCGTGAAACAAGGCAATCTTGAAGCAATACCGAATGCTCAAGGGCAAGAGAATGGGAGAGAACCTCGAGGGTCCCAATTTGGCCAATTTTTGCTTGATGCGGGAAGCCTGTCTGGAATAGTATTGATAGGAAGCTTGTCGTGTAAAGCTGTGCAAATATTGCAGGGCAATCGAAGGAGGGGCATCCTGTTGCAAATCTCGATTGTGGAGCAACATTATTGTTTCTCCATTCTGCACCTTTTTGCTAACATTGGCACTCCATTGTTCCGCAAGCACGTTGGTCACACCTTCTTGGACCAAGCCTACAATGTGCACTGGACATTGACGTTTGGGTGCCAAGGAATATCGCAGATTCTCCAAGGTGTTCATGAGATTTTCGTCGTGAGTGAATTGAGTCTGATCACAGGTTACTTGGACCACCACCAAAATGACAGACGGCAGTGCATGTGCATGCTTTTCGACCCATCCTGATGGAAGGATACCATCGACTGGTTTGCCTCTCATGGTATTGACTAGACGCATCGTATTGAAGTTCTTGCCAATGTAGAATTGATGCACTCGATTATTGTCTCCAGTGGCATCCTTGGAGGGTGGAAATCCATGCCGTGCGGAAATGGACATGATACGGGCGCGTTGGAAGAATCCTTGTCCATTTTGCAGTGCTTGAGCATAGGAAACATCGAGATCATGTTGGTGCAAGGGTGGTTCTAGCGAAGACTTGTTCCGTTTCTTGCGGCCCAGTTGGAATCGTTTGGAGGTAGTCCCTATCGAGTCACTGGATTTGAAGGAAGTGTCATCCCTGGATGCAGAACGTGGTACCGTGTGCGAGAGCAAGGCTTCATCGTCATCGGAATCATCTGCCGATTGATTTCTCAGTAGCGCATTCAATACATCTTTGGATGCCGTTGCGGATCCAGTACTGCCAAGTGGATGATCTCCCACCGAATCGTCCATCAAACTAGAGGCCATGGCATCTAGGAATCGATCAAATTGACTTCGAGACTGCGGAGGCTTCGTTGATGATCCTTTTGGTGTACCGACAGCATTATCAAAGGTGGCATCGACGCAAAAGACCAAGGGAAAGACCCCCACTAATATTTCTCCGGGATAGGTTTCCATCTTTGATTATCTATTAGATTGGAACTGCTGGAGCAACAATGGGCATTGACTGAACTGTTTACTCGTATAGTCGTATCTGGCGGTTTGAGAAAGACTCTTTCAACAATGTTTGCCTCTTGTAGAGAAATAGATAGAGCCGCGAGAAATAGTGCGCCGTTACCGACAAGCAAAGTGTTGACCGTATGATAGTATAGGCGGATTCGGACAATGATCTTTTGTTGTGCTGTGTGTGTGTCCTACATCCGTTTTGGGGGAATCGATATCAAAATGCATCTATCCCCCTTTGAGACGATGAGCAGTCTGTATGTCCACCAGCCGCAGGATGAGAAACAAAGGAAGTAAATCGAAGAACTTGCCAAAAACGAAGCAACACAATACGATTCCTCGTATAATAGATACCACATATATAAAACAACATGTTTCGACCAAGCACTGTCCTTTCTCGCTCGAGACGCCTAGCAGCCACATTGGCTCAAGCTAGTCACAGTGGAAACAGCACACAAACAACAACGGCGGCAGCAAAGGCTTCCACACGGTACCTTCATCAAGTAGCCTCTGCGGCATCTGGCAACAACTCGATCCATAACAGCAGCAATCTTCACGGAAACAAGAGCAAGAGCATTGATCAATTTCCCACTGCCAGTCATCAGCAACCACAATACCGAACCGTCTTTGTTCAGACTGAAAATACTCCCAATCCTGAATCCATCAAGTTTGTTCCCACCAACACGGTCGTGCTGGAAGACGATGGGACTGGCAATGGTTACTTTGTCAATAAGAGTGATCCCATGGAGGACATTCTCAAGAGTCCCCTTTGCACGGAACTCTTCAAAATTGATGGCGTCAAGGCTGTCTATTTGGGAAACACCTTTGTGACGGTTACCAAATTTGCCGAAGCCAAGTGGCAATTCATGCGCCCCGACATTTTTTCGTGTTTGATGGACTTTTTCGAATCGGGACAATCCGCTCTCGTGGACCAACCCATTATTACGGATACTACCATTATGGATGATGATGATGAAATCGTGGCCATGATTAAAGAATTGATTGAGCAGCGGATTCGACCGGCCGTGCAAGAGGATGGAGGTGACATTCGGTACATTAGTTTTGATGAACATGATGGTTTGGTCACGGTTCAATTGGCGGGATCCTGCGTGGGATGTCCATCGTCCAGTGTGACTTTGAAGCAAGGAGTAGAAAATATGCTCATGCACTACATTCCTGAAGTGACCAGTGTGGTGGCTCTGGAAGAGGAAGAAGAGGATGGTGAAGGCAATGAAGTGGAAGAAGTCAAGACGCAAAAGTCATATGAAGAACGATTGGCAGCAGCGGGAATTCCATTTTCAAATTAAGAAGAAAATGTCAGCATGGAAAGAGTGCTGTTGTTGTTGTTACTGCGGCATGGAAGAACTAGCGTAAGGATACCCTAAAAAATACAATCATGTATCACCCGTTTCACGAATAACAATTGATCTTCCTCTATTATATATTGTAGCCCTAGTCGATCAATTCTATCTCTTTTTGTTCGTCGATCGAAATTCATAGTTTTAAAACCCATGGCTTTACCGTGAGTATGCCGAATTGCTCACCTAAACAACTGATGACTGACTATGAACAAGAGGAAAATGAGAGTTGATGGTTTCTGTCAGTATATTAATATCAGTCGGATGAATCAATCTTGGCAAATTTGATCCAAATAAAGCAAAGCAAAAAATCGATCCAAATTTATGTGGACCACTCCAACGACAAACTACACTCAATTCCAAAACATGGGCATGTATTAAAGTGACGTAAGATGGGGGTTGGTGAGTGAAGCATGGCTCATCTGATTGATTCCGAGAAGCAAGTCTTTCGAATCAACATCATCGTGCCTCATTTCATCCCTTCTGTCGTTGCAATTTAGACTGCCATAAAATGAACCGAAACAAGGTGCTGCTCCTGATTCTAATTGCGGTTCTCACGAATGCTATTGGGGTTGGAGGATTGTCATCCATACCTTCGAATAGTCCTTCTTCTAGCAAATCCTTTCCAAGCCCAAACACCAGCAACGATGATAGTAATCACGATGACACCAGTACGACTTTTTCGGAATACAACGACATGGACAAGGAGGAAAAGAAGAAATACAAAAAGGCTGTGAAGAAATTACAGAAGACGCTTGCTTCAAGATTGCAAAATCGCATTCCAGATTCTATTGCAGCTTGTGTGAATCAGGGTATTCGGCTTGTGGAGCAAGATGCCTATAATGCGGCTATGATCATGCTCCAGAAGGCCCTCGCGCTGGCATTGAAGAAGGCCTCTCGGTATCAGAATTTGGATTTGCATCAAGAGCATCTTTTCAATATTTACCTCCATATGGGACGAGTCTTGCGACTTCAGAACAACTTGGACGATGCAATGGAAATGTTCGAAATGGCGCTTGAAATTGGGCTTACGCTTTATGGCCACAATCACAAAGAGGTCGCAGCAGTTTATACCCATACTGGAGACGTTCGATCCCAGCAAGGAAAAGTCGATGAAGCCATAGAAGCGTTTGAGAAAGCACTAGACATACAATTGGAGGTAAGGGGTCCAAACCATCTGACAGTTGGGCAGATTTACCTGAGCTATGGATTTTGCTTGCAGCGCCATCAAGTCAAGCTCGATTATGCAATCGAATTTCTCGAAATGGCGCTGGATATTCTATTGAACGAATACGGGAGAACCCATCTAGAAGTCGCAAGATGCTACCACTTGCTTGGAAAAATCTTACAAGATCATCAAGGCAAACATGAAGACGCGTTACGTATGCTTGAAAGCGCCCTGGAGATTCGATTGAAATTCCTTGACCATGACGATCCAAGTCTTATCCATTTGTACGTCGACATAGCATGGACCATGAACGAGCAAGGCAAACTCGACAAAGCAATAAAAAACTACAACAAGGGACTTGCAATCGCACTAAAAAATCATGACCATGATGATGCTGCTGCTATGATCTACAATAAACTGACAAACATTTTTTGGCTGCAGGATAAATATGACGATGCTATAGATATGTCCAAGAAGGAATTGACGACTCGACTCAAGACTCTTGACATTGACGATTCAAGACTTACAGTTACATACAGTAACATGGCAACTATCTTTCGTTCGCTAAAGAAACATGATGAAGCAATTGAAATGTATCAAAAGGTACTCACAAATCAATTGAAATACCTTGGGGAGGAGCATCTAGATATAGCAAAGACATACAAGGAATTGGCAGAGGCCTTGTCAGATCAAGGGAGAGATGGCGAGACAATGGAAATGTATGAGAAAGCGCTTGGAACTCAACTGAAAGCCGTTGGACACGACCACGTGGATGTTGCAGTGACATATTTCGACATGGGATGCCACTTGCACTTGAAGCAAAATAAGACTGATGAGGCACTGGAGATGTTGGAGAGAACACTTGCGATTGAGTCCCAACTTCTTGGTGAGGACCACCCTAAGTTGGCAGCGACCTACCATGCAATGGGATGTGTTATGAAGGATCAAAACAAACCGGCCGAAGCCGTGGAAGTTCACAAGAGGGAACTAGATATTCGATTGCAAACATTCGGTCATAATCATACCTCTGTAGCATCTTGCTTTCACAACGTGGCATATCTGCTGTGTCAGCAAGGCAAATATGACGATGGGATAGAAAACTATATGAAGGCACTCGAAATTCGATTGGAAACGTTGGGTCCTGACCATGAAATAACGGCATTCACCTACAAATTCATTGGGAAGGCCTTCGACGAGCAGGGCAAATATGATCAGGCAATTGGGATGTATGAATCATCACTTCGGATTTTCTTGAAATGCTATGGCGAGGAGGATTTGGATGTTTGGCTTTTGCGATTGGCTATGGCCAATTGCTTGAACGCCAAAGGCAAACATGACGAGGCGATCACAAGTCTTGAGAAGGTCGTTGTTTCAATTAAAAATGCCCCTGGTGACTATAGAATACTTCTCGCCACGATTTATTCCAAAATTGGAATAATCTTGGCTGTCGAAATGGCGCTTGACAAGGCTTTGGACGCTTTCCAGGAAGCCCTTACCGTTCAATTGGACGAACTTGGACATGACCATCTGGAGGTAGCGGAGACATATGTTTCAATGGCTTCTATTTTCTCGGAACAAGGCAAATATGACGAGGTAATAGAAGTGCTTGAAAAAAGTCTTGCAATCCGATCCAAGTCTCTTTCGCATGACGATCTGCTTATCACTAAAATACAAACAGAAATTGGAACGGCTCTGATGCACCAGAAGAAGTTTGACGAAGCGATGATACTATATACTAATGTGCTTCCCAATCACGTGACAGCACATGGTATTGATAATAGCCAGACCGCCTCACTATATCACAATATTGCACATTGCTTGGCTAAGCAACATAGATACGAAAATGCATTGGACATGCTCGAAAAGGTGCTGACGATTCGATGCACGCTTTTTGGTCAGGAAGACTCAAGTGTTGCAGAGACGTACATCACAATGGCAGAATTCCGGGAGGAGCAAGGAAAGCTTGATGAGGCAAGAGAGTTGCTTCAAAAAGCGCTTTCAATTCGATTGCAAGTTTTTGGTGAGGTGCATCTCGATGTTGCCGAGTCCTACAGTTTAATAGCCGGTAACTTTCTCGAACGAGGCAAGTATGGGGAGGCGATGGATATGTACGAGAGGGTACTGTCGATTCGGTCGAAGTGTCTCCCGTATGATGATCCGTTGATAACTTCAACCTTGTTGAATATTGGCACCACTCTCCAATATCTCGATAAGTTTGATGAAGCAGTGATCATGTATACCAATGCACTTCCTGGACACCTGAAGGCGCACGGCGTCGACCACCCGCAAACGGCTACACTTTACCACAACATGGCAGCTGCTCTAGAGCATCTAGAAAAGCAAGACTTCGCAATCGAATTGTATCAGAAGGCGCTAGATATCCAATTAGGCGGTGAGGAAAATCCTGATGTTGCAATGACATATAGTGCTCTTGGCAGACTCTTCGAGAAACAAGGAAACTACGACCAAGCAACGGAGATGGGGTTGAAGGCGCTGTCGATTCGACTTAGCACCTATGGCGAGAAGCACCCCTCTGTTATATCGGCTTACAATAATCTAGGGAGCATCTTGGAGAGTCAAGAAAAGTATGGTGATGCAATCGAAATGTATAAGACTGCGATTCGATTGAACACTGATGATCACGACCACCGATATCTGGCCGCAACCTACAACAAACTGGGTGGTATCTTACTCAATCAGGAAAAGTACGATGACGCAATAAAAATGCTCGAAAATGCTATCGCTACTACACTAAAGAATTCAGATCATGATGATCTTAATGTGCTCGCTGGATATCAGAACCTCGGGACCGTCTATCAAAGTCAAGAAAACTACGAAAAGGCTTTTGCCATGTATCAGAAAGCAGCTGATCTACTCGGTGATAGGGATGATGACATGCTTTTGGGTTTATACAATAAAATGGGAGTTGTTTTGTTCCGTCAAGAGAACAACCAAGAGGCCATGGCCATGTTTGAAAAGTGTCTTGCTATTTCGCAGAAGATCCATGGTCCTGGTCATTCATCACAGGCGATGCTGTACCATAATATCGGGAAAATCTTGGAAGATGAAGGCGATGACGAAGCTGCGATGGAAATGTTTCAAAAGAGAGATTCAATTCAAGGCGACTCGTCTCAAGATGACTGGTAGTTGTTGATAAATTTGGCTTTTGGATTATACTGTGGTAATGAATGAATCATTGGGGAGAAATAGTTTTTCAAAAGCGACTACACGACATTTGAAGGTGACCGTGTTGAATGCCACTCTAGCTAGTGGCGATTACAGTTGAACTTGCTCGCTCGCACCCAGTCCAATGTGCACCAATTTTGAAATTGAAGAAAGTGCAACACAGATTGGATACATTGTTCATGACACAAAATAATAATTATTCATCTTATTCGGTGCGCACCTCTATCCATTTCTATCGCATTCTTTCTTAGCTTGTTTCAAAATTTGTTTGTGCGTAATATTGTTGCTGCTTCCTCCTTGCCGGGCTGCCAGGCAATAGCTTCGTCCATATCCATCGTAGAAATCTCAATGTATGACACTTGGCTGATGCGTCAATAGGTGGAATATGGAAGAGGCATCGTCTTTGCTCTGCTCCAAGACAATCGGCCATGCCGCACCGGGTACATCAGTCTCCACCAGGATCCGTCGCTTGGCGGCATTCAAACGAAATAGCAGTCCAATTTTTTGCCATTGAGGGTCGCACTTTATGAGCATGGCCGAATGTGTCGTCCATAGTTGATTCAATGTGAAATTTTGTGTTATAGCTTCTAGCAGCAAAGCGCCGTGGTTTTCCCATACCGAATCCACGCTCAATTGTTTCAGACCCTTCATTTGCGGCAATTTGGAAATGAAATCTCTACAACCGTCATCCCAAACATCACATTCGATCATTGCTAATGATTTCAGTCCGGTGTTGGATATTAGAAAGTCACTCAGTTCGTTAGCACCATCATCTCCAATGGGATTGTAGGACAGGGTCAAGCTGCTCAACATTTGATTACGGCCCAAGCCATTGGTTCGGAGTTTTCGTATGCAGTCACCATTCAAATTGTTCATTTCGAGACTCAGCTTTTTCAGACTAGTTGAAGAGAAGGCAAGCATGGCGGAGAGTGCTGGTACGTGTTGGTCGTCGATCCCACAATGATCCAAGGATAGTGTCTCCAAATGCTGATTCTTGGACAATCGCTGAATCATTCTTGCAATGATTGTCGGTGAGTTCATCCTAACGTCTCGCAATTCAATGCGTGATAATGAGCCGCGTGAGATGGCACCCATCAGTTCTTTGGCACATTCCTTTTCCAAGCTCAAGTTCAGCAGACTAAGTGTCTTCATATGTCCCGACCGTATGCACTGTCCAACCGACATGGCAACATCTTGCTTGATGTTGCACCTGGTGATTGATAATTCCTTGATTCCTGCGATGGTAAAGAAATCTTCTGGTAGAGGTGCCTCCACAATCTTGACATTGCACAGCTCCAGGGATGAAAGTTCTTGATTCAACACCAACGCTCGTTGAAAGAATGGCAAGAGTTTCATGCCCAAAGACATATTGCTCATTCGCAATCTTTTTAGCTTGCCATTTCGTTCCAATGCCGTCAAAAAGACTTCAGTTGCCGATTGTTGGGAATGATTGGGAAATGCAGAGCCATCAAAGTTCACACTTTGTTCTATTGGCCATTCCCCGTCAATTAACTGTTGACTGACTTTCATCAACCATTTTGTGGAGTCTGTGTTTGATTTTGTTCTGGCGACAGACATCAATCCCTTTTTATTTATCCTTAGTCTCTCGTTGTTGTATTTTGTCGCTGATCTTCTGTTTCCATGCAATACGATTGATTGATTCAAATGGGTACTCGTTCTGCAATGTGGTAACTTTTGTTCTTTTGTCAAATGTCTTTCTCACTAGACTTGGATACGAGAAACACCGTTTTGACTTGCAAAGACGTGGCGTGAATTCAAATCGTTCGTGACGTTACCACGATATGCATTCTGATTGGAGCACGAGTGTCGTACTCGGGTCTGGTCAATCACACCATCTACCCTGACATCTGCTCACATAAATTCGAAGGTACGGTACCAGGTACACGTGTACGGTAGGACTACTGTAGTGTAACATTTTACAGCAATACACTATAATACTATTTTTAGTTTATATAATATACATTTATCTTGTCTTTGCAGTGATCAGTGAATCCCCGTTTTGACAGAAAACCCAAAGTAGGATTTCCATGTGGCCGGAAATGGTGCTTCAAACTCAAAGGTACTCAAACTACCAAGTTGGAGCTTTGCGTCCAATTGTACTCGATAGGCATGGAGGGCCACCGATTGGTCCGGTAGTACTCCCAATGCTGTATTGTTGCCGCCATATCGTAAATCTCCTTGAATCGGACACTTGCCAACTTGCGACAAGAGTGACCGTACCGTATGGCGAGCTCCATCCGTGGTCTGGACGATTATCATAGAGTGGGGATTGTTGTTGGGTGATACCCAGTCATCCAGCAAGGGCATTTCAACGAGCTTCCAGCGAACAGACAATATTCGCGTTCCTTGTTGCTTGGATTGTTGTGCTGTTGTACCAGCAGGTGCCGTCGACAATGGGCGAATACGAACGGTTCGTTGTTGCTTTCCCTCTTTTTGGCTCTCCAATGCCCCCTGCAATGTGAACCATTCATCACTGTCTTTGGACGGAACCGAGTATCGCTGTAAGTACTCCAAATTGCTACTTGAAACAGCGGCCAAATAGAATTTCTGGACTTGCTTTTGTTTCCAGAGTTTTGTAATTCTGGATGCCGCTTTGCTGGTCTTCCCAAAGAGCAATAATCCACTACAAGGTTGATCGATCCGGTGAATAGGCAACAAAAAGTCTTGGCGGGACCCACCGCCCAGTTGCATGTCTCTCAATTTGGTGAGCAGGCACTTGGAAGAATGTGTAGGATTGGGAACCGAGTGCCAACCGGGTGGCTTGTTGACGACCAACAGATGATTGTCGTTGTAGATTATACTCGGCTCTTCTAGTTTGGTGTAGCTGGTTTGTGGGGTTGCTGCCATCCCATGTTGCATCCGTTTGGTTGGAACACCAAGAACGAGCTGACGAGGATGTTCATCATCATGGCAAGAACTAGCACCAGTACTGACTGTGTAGTGGCGAGGAAGATTATTTTGGTGAAACTTCTGATGTTGATGACAATTACCATTTCCACCGATGGTTCCAATCAGCCCCCTTCCTCTCCGAAGCATGGGAAAACATCGGCTTCGTACCATATCCATTTTCAATGCTGTGGGTGTTTGATGATTATATTGATTGATGGGTTCATGGAAAAATAGGGCGGGGGCGACGGACAGTTTTGGCGCGCTTCAAAACACGCACGATTGAACACTCGTGACAAAACCCACACAAAATCAAAATGCTTTTGCTAGTTGAACTTATTGCAAGAGTTGTTTTTCTTGCAGTGTTGTTGGACTTTGGACAAAGAACGTAGAGCTGCGGAGAATGTGGAAAAATTGGCATTGTCAGTGATAAAGATAAAATACCAAGGCTACCGCTAGTATGTCTTCTCAGGAAGAAGAAACCCAAAATGACGAGCAATATGCCAAGGATATGCAACTTGCCTTCAACTTACAAGCCAAAGAGATGAATCGAGCGCATCATTCGAAGAAATTGAAGAAACGAGAGATGCAAACTGCGTTACACGATGGCTATTCTCAAAGTAGATTGAATCCTGACCATATGCTTTTTATCAGGTGCCTGATCGACGATCGACAAGTGGATCTTTTGGTGGACACTGGAGCCAGTGTATCGGCCATATCAGTGGAAATGGTGCAAAAGCTACATCTTGAATCCAAGTGGAATCGTAGTATCACTGGGAATGCTAGAGGAGTGGGAAGTTCAAATATCCTTGGTATTGTGGAACACGTCGATTGCATGATTGGCCATGTAGAGTTTCGACTATTTTTTATGGTCTTGGAAGGTCAAATGCCATATTGTATTCTTGGTTTGGACCAGATGCGACGGTTTCGATGCAATGTAGACCTAGATGAGGATGTACTGGTATTTGGGGGCAAAGGTGGGGTTTCCGTCCCATTCCTGCCGCAGGAAGAAGCTGCAATTGCTGCGCACAAGATGATGACGTCAAGCCAGCAGCAAGAACAGGTGGAACTGCAGCAAGAGCAACAAAGGGAATGGTCTCAAGAAAGCAATAGAAAAAAGAAAAGTGGAAAGTTTAAGTCCTTTTTTCGGAGCTGATGAAACATTCTACCATAAGAAAGAGAGCCGTTTCATGTGCTACATTTGGCACTTTAGAATACTTGCCAGACTTGATCAAGCGATGGAACCAAACAATACTAAACTAAGAGAGAAATATCTTTGAACCGCATCGATAGTTTACACCATTTCTACATTGTGTGGGTAGCCTGGCCCGCTCCTTGGCTGGAAAATGTGTGTCATCTTGCTGTCCAAAGTGCTGCTGCATCGAGGTTGAGTCGCCAAAGTTTTGATGAGACTGGAATTCGTCTACAGAACTCTCGTCTATGCTTGTTCTTTTGCATCTCGAAAGATTATGCTAATTCGATGATCTCGCTCGGCTAGGATCTCGGTTCCATCTGGTTGGGTAAACGTGGAATTTGTTGGAAGCAGTTCGTGTGCATATCGATATCGACCTACCCCAGTTAATGCATATAGACTTAGTGGCGGTAAATACAAATCCACCCATCCTTTATTCTCTCCTTCTACTGTGCTTTCTTCATTCACATTCCCACCTTCCCCATCCATGTGTGGAATCAAGCGCATTATGCTGGACGACATGAGCGAAACGCCAGCAACCAAATCACCCGAAAATTTGACGGAATCCACATGGGCATTCAATTCTCCTTCTTTCTTCAAATCAATCGCATGACAAGGGAGCCATTCGATTGTTCTGTTTTCATCTTTCCCGTCCTTCAGCAAATGATTCGTTGCCAATTGTTGACGTATCCGACGAAAGATATTGGGAATTTCTGGATTTTCAAAGTTCAAATCAGACAATTCCACTTCCTTGTAGTTGGTTATGACCGCATCCCAATGTCCCTTTTCGTATCGTCGCCTTCTGAGTCGACCTTTAACGTCATCAAGAATCAAGTTAGCTTCGTCTTCCGTCAAAACATTGGGGTACACGACAGAGACATCTGGTGTGAAATCGGATGGCGCAAATCTGGTGTCCACAAAGGATGCGTCAGCCTCAAGCACTGTAGGTGCAACACTAAAGCGTCGTCGGCAACGAATCAGGCCTCGGTCTGCTAGTTTGACAAGGTTTACTAGGCGGAGAGACATCTTTTCAGTTACTGTAGCAACGGATTTATGATTTGGCGGGAGATCAGATGTGCACCCTGATGACGATACTTGATATACGATATGTTTCATGTGTTGTGCGATGTCACGTTACCTCTGACCACTTCGACTAACACGTGTCACTCACTTCATTTTCAAAATGAAAACATCAAGTCTTCTCCTTTCTCAGTACAAAGTTCAAGACAATTCTAAGATCTCGTGCTCCTCACGAACTTGGAAAGCTGTCCATAGTTCTTTGGAAGTAGGGGTGGGAACAATATAACGCGAAGTATTGAATTGAACCATCAACGTAGATATGAGGACAAGGAATATCCCAGGAAACAGAGCTGTGCCTTCAAGTCGCAGAAGTTCTGAAAAAGGAATGCCAGGCTTGAAGGCTTCGACTATCGCTGATATGAATGATGAACCATTGGAGACGCCGATTCAACACATGGAAGAACCTCTGCTCAACTACATTCCAAAGGCGCTCTCTCCAATCTACAGGGGTGTCCCATGGTTCTTGGACGTCTCCTTGATTCTTCTCTCCCTGTGGGCTTCAGCAGTCACAACGTGGAAGCGAATAACGTGGTTGCAACCACTAGCAATCCTCAAAGGATGGAAAGCTGCCCCCACGACGGGAGAACTCGTTACTTTCTTCACAAAGGTGAGTGTCATCATTGTGCGATTGTGTCGTGTCAGACGATCCAAATAGTCTAAGCTCGCGTATTTATATTCTTGTAGGCGTTGTTGTTATCTGTCTTTGCAAGAACAGTGATCCAAGACTTGTTCCTTCCTCCATCTAGAGTACCGATGAGGTCTCTATTGCAAAAATATTTCTTGCCATCCTCTCTTTCCAAGTACGAGACCTTGTCTGTTTTAGGAAGTGATGGAAAAGAGCAATCCATAGGGGTACATTTTCTGGAGTACACCAATCCCACGAACAACACCTCTGGCTTTGATGCATTGTATGTGAATCACGGCTTTGGAGCCTCCTCCCTTTCCTGGTTGCCAGTGATTCCTACCTTGACCAAACGTCTTGGAGCTCGGGTGTGCCTTGGACACGATGCCGCTGGGTTTGGATTCACAGATCGACCGGATGATCTAGGTCTGTACATGACGAGAGGATCCGGCAAGATTGCCGCAAACCTACTACTCAATAAGACTTCATCGGCTCCCAAATCAGTCGCTCTGCTTGGTCATAGTCTGGGTTGCCTCACTACCTTGAAAATGGCATTGGAATTGCCAAAGGAGACATCCAAATTGATTGTCCTTTGCGCACCAGCTCTGGGAATACGAAAACCCGCTTCTGTTCAAAAGAGGAAGTGGTATACTAGTGCTGCCACCATCTTGCGAGAGAACTTTTTCTATCCCGTTTTTGGCTATACGCTACGAAGAGCTGTAGGGTGAGTGTAGATATCACGAGTGGTCACAACTAGTCTCTTGAACCATGTCTGTATGCTTTATCTAACTCCTACTTTGATTTGACAGAGGAAAGAACTTTTGGAGACGAGGACTGGAAACAGTTTGGGGAGATAAATCGAGGCTGAGAGACAATGACGTTCTTCGGTTCCAGTGGCCATCAGTCGGATTGGGTTGGGAGAGAGGCATATTGGAATTCGCTAGGGCTCAACTCTCTGCCTTTGACGAGGAGGACCTACAAGATGACCGCACTCTGCTTCGACGGGTGATGGACATGCCCAATACTAAGGTGATGGTCATTTTGGGTGGCTCCGATCGTGTGATACCTGCAAGCTTCAGTCGCAATTTCTTCAATGATTTTGGACTGCCTGTTCAGGAAATGGTTGGTCTAGGTCACGATCCTTTTGAAGAAAAACCAGAGGAATTCAGTGAACTTGTTGATCGCTTCAGAAAATCTGAATTTCAATAGCATTAGCATCGGAGTATTTGCTTCTTTCAACATGCGTCTTGCTTGTTCAGCATGATTCGTACCAAGTTAATGTGCCTAGAACTATTTAGAACATTTCCACGTATAATTCGCTGAGGGCCGTGTATGCAGAGCGACCGATAATCAGAATCACAAGAGTAGCAATTAATGTAACAATCACAAATGGAACAGGTGGGACGTAGCCCTTGATAATCCCTCGGAGTGCGCACCCAAGTGGCACTGCAACAATCCATCCCTTTCCCGTTTGTACAACTGCTGACTTGATATCTGAAGTAGCACCGGGTGTGAAGCAACCCATTAGAGGTGCTGTCAGAAACCAAGACAGCAAAAAGGGAAAGGCTGTCATTCCAACCGACAGGAAATCAATAGATCCATCAGGAGCATGGGATGCTTTACCGACTGCTGCAAACACGAGGATTGCTACAGCATCAATCGCTGCAAGAACGGGACGGTCTAATGGGGTGGTTGGTACAGTTTCATCGGGAGACTCTGACATAAAAAGCTGGGTTGGTACATGTGATGAAGTAGTGTCGACAGGTGAATTGACCACTTGAATGAGATTCTGGCGTTGAGTTGTTGGCAAAGATATCGGGCGATAAGAACTCGGTCCAGTAAACGCATTAGAAACTGACAATGAAAGCAACGCAAGCATCAGTAAAAGGCCTGAAAAAACATTCATGTTTCTGATAGCCATTTTGAAAGGTTAATTGACAGACTTGGATTTGAGATTGCTTTGTTGATCTTCGTTTTCCAAGTTCATGTCAATGTTGAATCATTCTTGTGTCAATATGGTGATCTGATTGATGGTCAGTGAGTCAGTCAGTCAGTCGATCGAATCAATCCACGAGCATGTGATGTTCATCGCATCATCAATGTTCTGTCCATCTACCGGTACACGTACAGTATGGTACTGGACCGGTCAGCGGTCAGTACCAACACTGAAGTCATTACAACGGTACCAACGGCAAATTCTTCAGCTCGCATCTCATTCGCTCAGAAGTGTCTTTCAGACCTCAGAGATTTCCACAACGGAAGGAACTCACAAAAACCTGAAGTCAACTCCATCAACACATTCAGAAAAGAACCTACCTGGCTCTATCAGCAAAGTAGTAGCAAATACAATCATGAGGCAACAAGTCTTCGAAATGCTTCCACCGCCAACGATTGGAATTCCAACGGCATCATCGCCTGATAATAGCTCGGCGACTGAAAAATCTGAAGAAAATTTGGAAAGCAGTGATGATGTTGTGATTACCTTGTTCCGCCGATTTGATGAAAGAAGCATGGACAACAGTGTTACAATGAAGTCAATACCGGAAAGCAGCATAGCCGACGACTCGTTTTATCAGAAGATCAATGAGGAAGACTTCAAAATTGATCCAGTCAATGAGTCAGATGGCTCCGTCTATTTTAAAGTCGAAGCTCCTGTATTTGAAGAAGAGTATTCAAACGAGCAGCTCTTGAGTTACATTGAACAGTTATCCAGCAACCTAAAGAAAGCCGAAAAGTCTGTACAGAAACAAAAGTCACGTCGCCGGTCACGAGAGCAAGCAATTATCAAAATGGCAAAAGTACTCAATAGCCAGAAAGATACCGTCGCACAACTCAAAGCAAAAGTTGATGAGGTAATGTTGGCCCTGTATTGTGGTAACTGCACAAATCAATATTCGAAACTAATAATACTTTCCACTTTCTAGTTGAAATCGGAAGTGCGTATGAAAGATACGGAGAATTCAGTATCTGACCAAAGACTCCAAAACACATTGAAGGATTTGGTGGAGGCTGAGACAGCTATCAAGAGTCTCAACAAACGGCACAAGCACGATGTTACAAATAGTGGCCTAAATGAAGACATTGAATCAAAAGAAAGGGCACAACACGCAACAGTAATGAAAAAACAACAACGGAGGGCTTTGAAACTTGCTGCTATGGTACTTCTTTGTGTCTCATCCCTGACAGCGATGTGTGCTCTTATTGGTTGTAAAATGACTAGAAACGAAATCACTGACGGTGATCAACAATGTGATATGTTTTCAAGTTTGGGAGCTGTCCGCCAACACCTAATCTCGCAAGGCGTCGAAGGCCAAAGGGCGCACTTTGTGAAAGGCCCAACGGTTCCTGCAATGAAACAAAGAAATCTACTTGATGTCTATGCAGGTGCAATCCGGAGAAGCACGCCATCTTCGATTGTGCAAGATTTTGTCAAGGTAAAGAGCATAACTTGATTCAGCAACAGCCTAGTGCCCTGGGACTAGTTTCACTTTTTGAATCCAATTAGAAGCCGCCTTGCTAGCTCTGTATGAATGCTGTTTCTTGGCGAAGTCTTGGAGCAGCAATGACTTGTCCTATCGTGTCTTTTCGCAAATGTTGAATAAGATCTCGTTTGTTTGCTCCAAGGGTGCGTTGATCGTCGGCTTAGTTTTCCCGTTACGGCAGCGTCGACACACTCAGCCATACTTGCTAGCCGAAATTTTCTTTCCGTCAATCCAGGACCGTAGTGAGCCTGAGATGCAAAGAGAAGGAAATGAGTTGGACGAAACTTCTATCCTCATGGTGATAAATGGATCACTTACATATTTTCCGCTATTTGTCAGAATAGTTGCTTCTGGATTGGTAGGAATCATTGGCGGCTGCAGAAGCATACACCAACAGGTATCGTTGACAAACGATATTCCAAAGTCCCGCAATGCCGGTACTGCTGGCGACTTATCATATAGTTCTCGAGACATGCATGCTATTACTTCAACTTCGGCTTTCTTTTTCTGAGGTGATGGCAAGCTTTGAATCTTCTCAAGTAGCTTTTCGCATTCCGAGAGTGAAAGGTGGGGGTTTCCCAATGAAATCCAATCGATACTGCCTTCTTCATCCGTATCCAAAGCATTATGTTGATCCAGAAGCTTGTAAGTCTCTTCGAGTTCAAGAACGTCCACAGTGTACTTTTTCTTGCAACTGGCAATCATTTCATCGGTCACTTCGGGTGTCACTCCGGCAACATGAATCAACGGCGACGCTGCAGTGGTTCCAAAAGCAGCGCAGAAATCTTTCAGGTGATCAGATGTAATGTCCTTTGAATACCGCTCGAGGCCAACCAACAAGGGCACTTCTCCATCCGACAATGTTCCACAAAGATGACCAAGAACAGGGAACAGGAGCGAGAATGAAGCTGAATCGTCGGTCGAGAAGTCTATAGCGCTTACATCCAACAAAATTTTGGGCTGTCGTTTCTCCTTGATATGCACACCAACCTCGGGCACTTTGCCGACAATGGCACAGCAAATGTCCAAGTAGTCCGCATACTTCTCAGTTCTTGCACCAAGTATTGAGTTTGCAAATACTACAGCATTACTTTCGCCCCACACAATTTGTTCATCCAGTTCAGGAGGATTCTCTAGTAAATATGGAGCACAAGTAAATGACCGTTCGGAACACCCAAGGGCGACATATGCTTCGGCAAGTTTCATGGATGACTGCTGGGATTCTGTAGCCTCGATTCCAAGGTTCTTCCAATTTCTGAGGTCGGTCGAGACAGAGTTGAGTGTGGTGGGAACCTTCACCTTTCCTCCTTCCTGCACCAGTCGCTCTGCGAATGCGAGACCACCTGGACCAATGTACGTGCAACCTGTGTTTTAAGGTGACGATCATCATTGAGCTATGAAATCAAGCAAACATTTGGCTGCATTCATGCTTTTGTCTTCTTACCATCAATATGGGCCTTCCCGACATCAATATATTTCGGACTATCAGAAACTATGTATGCATATTTGATTATGCATTCCAAAGCTCGTCTTTCTGCCTCCGTCTGACAAGCATCCATCATTTCTTGTTCTTCGTCAGTAAGCACCAAATCACCACCTTTCGTTGGGTCAGCTGTGTCTTTTGGGTTAGGCTCAAAGGCTTCTTCAATCTCTTCAACAGACTCGCCAAAAATTAAACTTCCGTGATTTAAAACGCGTCCAAAACTTGGTTTCTGTTCTAGCAGGGCCTGATAGTTCTCGATTTGAATAATATCCAGCACATCCGAATCTGGAAAGATGGCCTGTGCCACCAATGCTCCGACACTCACAAGACCATCTCTGTCTCTCAAAATCAGTGCCTTTGGAGCCTTTCCGTTCAGTATGAGTTCCAACATGACTTGAGAGGCAGTACACGAACCTCTCCCTGACGGAAGGCATAAAATCGACCCAGCCACGGATTGACCGTACAACGGATGAGAATGATCAATCACGATCCCAGTCTTCTCATCGATCCCGCCCCAGAATGAAAGTCCAACATCTGAAGCGATGACCGGGCACACGCTGTGCTCTTCGTTTCCCTTGACCAATGTCCTTCCACTGTACTTTGACATGATGATGATTGATGATGCTACCAGAATTCAGATCTGTTTGTTTTTATTAGCGGTTGAGTCGAATGGATCGACGACAAATTCGTACGTATGTATGTAGTCGTTTCAGTCATTGTGCCGAAGAATCGGAACACTTTTCACTTGTCGGAACGAATATTTCTTCCAACAACAGAGAAATGAAAATGACAAAAGAATCATTGCTCTATTATTAGGTTTCTTTATTGGACTCTTCGTCTAGCGGGGGTGGAAAATTGTTGAATAAGGCATCACCTTTCCTTCTTCTTCACAGCCTTTTCGGATCATTGTGGACGAGGGCCACGAGTCTGGATGCGGTTGAGTTCGTTGAATCATCCATCATCATTTTGACTTCTCTCTCTAGCAGATATTCTCTCCAATCATCTCGTAGCTGAGTATTGAAGACGCCAGCGAATCCATATCCCGGTGCAATTCTTGCTATGCGGGCAATAGTGACTGGCAAGATTCCTCGATACAGAGACTTGCTTCTATCAATCATAGATTCTCTCCAGGACACGGACGAGCCCAAATTTCTGTTGTACAAATCTAAACCAATGTAGTGAAGTGGACTAGCGACAAATTGTGCGCCAACAGGGAGAGCAATCTGACAGAAACTCTTTGCTGTCTTCTCGTCAAATCCATAGGCATCGACAAGTTTTGGGTATACGATGTCGGGAAGAATAAATGATGATCCAATGACAGAAAGATCCCGTGCAATCCACATTGCGTATGTCCATCGTGGAATAATAGATTTCGTTGGATTTGATCCATATAGCTGGGCATATGTTCTATCTTTCAGCATTGCCAATCCAGAGTTGGCGCATGTTGTCCCCAGAAAAATGCCGACTTTTCCCAACTCGGCTGTAGAACTTTTGCCACTATTTCGTGCTTCCTCTTTGTAGCTCTGATGTTCGACAAGTGTCTTCAGGCAGTTGGCGGTGCTGTAAGTTCCAGCATAAACTCCCCAGACCAACAAGAAAGCTGGGCTCTTGACTGTTTTAATAGGATTTGTGAGCATCCCTTGCATTGATTCCAATGTTGATCTCGCCAATGTGTGAGTACCAGAAGCACTTTGGACAACTGCCTTGTCTATTATGGTGAGAATTGGAGCGATGGCCAAGGTCACAGATGCGCCGATTACAACATCGCCAAAAAGTTTCTCCTTCAAACTGTTCGTTGCAAAATCAGGTCGTTCCTTAGCAAGTGTGCTGAGCTTTGGTGACGCGCCCACTTTTATTGAATTGTTGCTTTGTGATTGAATTGTGGACGTCATTTTGGTGGATTGAATTAATTGTATGGGTGGTCCTTTGATTGATACTTGCTGTCAGTAAGCAAAGAAGGAATTTTGTGTCGACGGTTGGAGTTTCCTTTGATTCTTGCCTAGCTAGGATCTCTTATCTGGCGAAAATGTGAGAGCTGGGCTACGCTGGCCAAAGTACTGCTCGTGCACGTAGGGAAAAGAGAGAAACGACCGTGTCGACATAAAATTCTGCCGTGGGTTTGGAAGTTTTGCTTTGTCGCATTTGCATTCTTCCGGAAGTACTGGATGTACGTGCTTTCACGTAGCAGAATCATTCGATTTAGTCACGGCATTCTCTAATTGGTCAAACGCAAATACACTCAATCGAAGACCTCTCGTGACTTCCGATCGAACTCAGCACCTTGTGCAAGGGACCGCCATTGTTGCACTTTAGTAAAAAATAGATATTGGTTGTCTGCAACAGACAATACTTGGTAGCAAAATTGTTGCACAAAAGGTATTCAATAGCTTAGATTCCAAAGGTACCCTGTGACTTTTGCTTCTTGTCTCGTTGTCGATTCACTCGATTGTTGGACTTGGGCTTGGTTTTTGGCTTTCCCTTTTGGTTCTGGCCGCTGTTACCATTGTTGTTGGTGTTGTTATTATTAGCATTCGGAGCTGGTTTTTTGTTGCCATTTCCATTGGTATTGTTGCTGTTGCCATTTGCGGTTTTCCCTTGTTGTTGTCCTTGCTGCTGCTGCTGCTTGGCAGCTTGTTGCTTATTCTTGTTTTTCTTGTGATTTGGTTTCCTCACAATCTTGCCGTCGGGCCCAACAATGCGACCACCCTTGATTTTATCAGGTCCTCGAAATTGCTTTTGGCCACCACCAGTATTATTGTTGATGTTGCCCTTGGCGTCGTTCGCACGATTCGTGTTTCGGTTGGCCTCCCAAAAGGAATCCTCTGCTTCACCTTCACGAGCAAACTTGTTGTAGATCTTCATCTGTTCAAAGTCATACAATCCACCATCGGTGTCTCCTAGCTTGACGTCAATATCATCATATTGGTCGTCGTAGTCATCATTGTACTCGTTGACCACCATTTGCTCTTTTTCTTGGGCTGACACATACAACAATGCTTTGTACCTGTCCTGTTCCTGCTGGGCTTCCAGCGCCATTCGAGCCTTGACCAGCTCTTTCGCTTCGGCAGCATCCCTTTCCTCGTCTTCGGCACGATCCTTCTTTCTTCGGGGCAACGATCGATCCAAAAACTGAAGATTAGGTGGATATTGAGACGGGTCGTTGAGTAATGTAGAAACAGTCGTCTCAACATTCCCTTGATATAGACTCAGGGCTGTCTCGATGAAACCCTCACCCAAATCTGGAATGATTTGTTTTACTTGGGCAATGCGCCGTTCCATCTCATCTGCCGGGGACACAACCTTGGCCTTTGTAGCCTTTGTAGCAGGCTTTTGATTCACATCTAATATCGATGTGGTTTCTGTCTGTTCTCTCAGTCGCGCCGATTCCAACATGTTGAAAATGTACTCCCTTTGATGCAGAGTGTCTTCATTGAAAGGGAGATTCTTTAGGACATTTTCCAAGCTGCCATGAGACGGTTCTAATCGCCTTTCCCAATCTTGTAGATCCCGTAGACAGTCAGTAGATTCTTCTTCCATGGTCTGAATAGCGGACATGAGCAACTCTTCCAGTGACTCCGGTTGCTGTTTTGCATCTGCTGCCAACAGTCCTTCCACCAAAAGATGTGATAATAAGGACAAAACCTCGTCCTTTTGTATCCTAGAAGAATCCTTAAGTATATGAATATCGTATATGGAAGATAGGCTTGACAACCAGTCTTTGGAATAAGCAAGCTTGCACACTTTGGGTATACAAAGCAAGCCTCCCATGGTCTGCACAGCACTTCTTAGTTTTTCCAGAGACGAAGAGGAGGATCTTGTTTCAATTATCAGCGTGGACATCCCTCGATGATATAATCTGAATATTTTCTTGAAGTGTTCGACTGGCATGGAATCAATCAACTCGCGATAAGCTGTCAAAAGCTCTCGACAACCTTCATGTTGGTCATTTCCTTTTATCCGAAACAGCACATTGCCCATGGCATACAATTGCTGTGGCATTGGCAAGGCAATTCCATTCTTGGTCAGTGATAATTGTTGGAGTTTGGAAGCGACTTCTTGTATATCTGTGCTTGAGCTCATCTTCGGAGCAATGAATATAAAATGCAAGCAAACTGTGTGATGTGTGTTGTGGGGTTTCGATCATCCTACAGTACAAGCACGTTTCGCGAGTCACGAACGACAGCTCGTCCATCGCCCGCTTGTGACGTCATAGGATCTAACAGCTGAGCGAAATATTTCGCACAGAAATATTCAAACTTTGCACTGATTG